TATTATAATGACAGGTTGGCTCTACAGATTAACCCCAACAAAAGCAAGGCCATGATTTTTAGTAAAGATTTTCCCTCTAATGGTATACTCTACAATAATCATCCAATAACAGTTGTACCTAACCATAAATTCTTGGCTGTTGTCATTGATAACAAACTTTGTTTTGATTTACACATCAATCACGTTATAACTAACTCTCTTAAGGGCTTAAATATTATAAGATGTTTAGCTGGTGTGACTTGGGGTGCAGACCTCAAAGTTTTAAGTATGCTATATAAATCTATAGTCAGAAGCCACTTCGACTACAGTTGTTTAGCCTACACAAATAGTAATTGTGTAAAAAAACTAGACATAATTCCAAACAAAGCTCTGCGAATTATTACTGGGGCTATGTGTTCAACTTCCATACGAGCTATGGAAGTTGAAACCAAAATAATGCCACTGTGTCTCAGAAGACTTCTACTAATAGAGAGATACATACTAAAGCTGTTATCAGGTAATGATAATGTTCTCACAAAAATAGTACCTTTTCCTGTACAATCCTCGGCCCAGCAGAATTCGGGAGGTGAGCTTTTACGAGGTTATTTCCCAGTTTTGCCTCTCATTGTACTACAAATGAATGAAGATTTTAACTACTTAACTAAAAAAAAAATTAATAACCGTGAATTATTAAGTTTTCTTCCCGACAATAACTTCTATACTGTATACAGATGGTAGCAAAAGCGAGCTCTTTGTGCACAGTGCTGTTTATGATCCCCAATCCAAGATTGGTCAAAGTTTTCTTCTGGACCCTAAATGCAGTGTTTTCACTGCAGAGGTATATGCGGCCTTCCAGGCCCTGAAGAGGATCGCACATATAAATAGTTTTAATAATTTTAAAATTTTAACAGACAGTTTAAGTATGGTCCAAAGTTTAAACAATCTCAGATTTGACTTTAAAAAAAAACTATATTTTGTATAATATTAAAAAATTGTTATTTAGTTATGCACAAAAGGGTATAAAGGTCTCTTTCGTGGAGATTCCATCACATAGGGGCATAACAGAAAATGAGATAGTAGATAAAATTGCACGTGATGGAAGCAACAAGTTGGATGTTAGCTCCATAGTAAAAGTACCTTTGACCGACTGTTATCAATCTATTGCCAACCAGGTCAATAGCTTATGGGTCAAATTTTGGAAACAAGACCAAGAACAGAAAGGTAAATGGTATGGAAGCAAATCTGCCTGTAACACCAAGGTATAACAAACTGAAAATGACCAGTCGGGACTTTTTTACGACTATAAACAGACATAGTGGAGAGCAGCTACTGCACCTTACAAGTGGGTGTTGAATCAATAAACTGTTTTTTTTAACAGCTTTTCGTACGTCAATGTGTTAACCGTTATTTATTAATGAAAAAACAGGTTGAAAATATTAGCTGTTAATTTACGTCAACGCACTCAACGCATTTTTTTTTCAATATTATTTTATTCAATTCTGTGAATTTAGTCTCCTTCGGAAATATTCGTTACTACCGGAGATTACCGAACACCGTCGCGTCGACGCATCGGACGCGGTCCTGTGAGTACGCACTACGCACTTTCTTTATTCACTCACGCACATGAGCGAATAAAGAAAGTTCATATGTTATTTGTTATGATTTTGTATTTATGTGTGTGTGTGTAAACAATCCGTGAGCTTCGGTCAAGGCTAAAATTCGTTGCGATTGTTTTGTTTGCATTTGCAGTTGAGGACAAGTGTTTTAAAGTTTAGCTTATTTTTTACGTTTTTAAGTTAAAGTTTTACCTACTGTAAAATAATATCTATTAGGTTGGCATTTTACACGAATATTGTTTTTGACAAAGCTTGAACATTGTGTTAGCGCCACGTAGAAACTCAAGTTTACTCTGCTAAAGACAAATAGACAATATGAAATGAATTGTGACTCACATAAAAAAAGCTCGCAGGGAAAGACTAAAACGCTAGCAGATAAAGACTTACCGACGATCACTTCAAAAGATTGGACCACTTACCAACAGTTATGTCAGGTTGATACCATTCGAAGAGGTGACAAAAACCATCAGTAGCCATAAATATTTTACGGGCAGCTACGTTATAATAATGACACGTTGCCCGAAAGAATCTTTAAGGACATATGAGAGATTCCGTTTTGCAGGTTATAAGATTTTATATGTAATTGTAAATAGAACAAAGGAAAGAAAAACAGAAACGATGAATAATCTATATGCTCAGCCAGTCGTGAAAAAACCGAATAAAAATACTCAAGACTTGGCCTAAAGGTCTAGATACCAGGCCATAAACTCAAAAAAAATTAGCTTGCTGCATAACTATTTATCTATGGTCAAATTTTTAAAGTAAAACGATAGCGATCGTTGATTGGGAAGTTTTAAAATACAGAAATTGGATTAAATTAAACTTAATAGCTTTAGACGAAAACAACAACAATGAGTCTTCCACTTCATGTAGAAGTAGTTCAAAAGAAAGGGAGTTTTATGAATAAAAATATTTTAAAAGAATTAGTGCATAATTTTTTATCAAATTTCAATACTTTGACTCCTGGTGCAACATTAGATAATAGTGATCTAGAGGAAAATGTGCAACTTTTTGAACATGTGCAGTCTATTACAATTTGTGACGTAGAACATGATTCTGAAGTGGTTACAAGTGAAACTGAACTCTTGTACCATGTGTACACACTGGACTCTTTCGGTGCTGAAACCGACACTATGAGTGATAATTCTTCCGGCGAGGAGCTCTCTGTAGCCGATGTATGGGCTCTTCCGGCCGAAGAGTTCCACGGTTTGTGGGAAAATCTCATATACGACTCCAAGCTTAAGGAAGATACGTTGCGATTCGTAGAGACTGCTTTCGATTTCGCTGATCGCGGCGTGGACCCTAACATCGTCAGCTGGAATCGCGTAGTACTGTTACACGGTCCGCCCGGCACGGGCAAAACCAGTTTGTGTCGTGCACTGGCTCAGAAGCTGGCCATCCGTCTCTCGGATAGGTTTCCTCGGGCGCGTCTGCTCGAGATCAACGCGCACGGCCTTTTTTCTAAATGGTTCTCAGAGAGCGGTAAGCTCGTGGCGAAGCTTTTTGAGCGCATCCGCGATATACTTGAAGATCCGCAGCTGCTCGCGTGCATCCTCGTGGACGAGGTGGAGTCGCTGACGCACGCGCGGCGCGCGGCGCTCGCCGGCCTGGAGCCGTCGGACTCGATCCGCGCCGTGAACGCGATCCTGACGCAGCTGGATCGACTGAAGCGGCACCCGAACGCACTCGTGCTGACGACTTCGAACGTGACGGGGGCGATCGACGTGGCGTTCGTGGACCGCGCGGACATCAAGCGGCTAGTGGGCCCACCGTCCGAGCGCGCGGCGTACGAGATCCTGCGTGGTTGCTGTGAAGAACTGATGGCGCGCGGGGCGGTGGCACCGCGCGAATCGCTGTTCCCGCTGCGCGTGCTGGAGGCGGCGCGTTTCGTGGAGAGCGACGGCTCGCGCGCCAGCCTGCGCCTGCGCGAGCTGGCGCGTGGCGCGGCGGCCGCGGGCGCGTCGGCACGCGCGCTGCGCCGCTTGCCGCTCATGGCGCGCGCGCTTTTGCCCGGCGCCGAGCCGCCTATGCTGCCAAGCTTCCTCGATGCGCTGCACGCCGCGCTGGCGCAGCAACTACTCGACGCTAGGGACATCTGCGACAGCCCCGCTCTTGCATCACCACCTTCCTAATCCTTATTATCTCCATTTATCACCAAATTTGTTTACGCTGTGATTCATTTATTCTTGTGGTACTCTTATTTATCATGTAGTACTTAAGTTCTAAATAAATATTTGTTCAAAAGATGTATTGAATTATAATTATATAAGCTAGTAGATTAAAAATAATACAAATTTCACAAAGTTTTTATTTTTTCTTAAAATTACAGTCAGTGGTCAACTGCTATAAACAGTGGTCATCGCTTTTACACTTTCATGGTTTCAAACTAATTAAGTGGATTACAATATGACATTATGTCAATAGATACAAAACTTAAAATTACACATTGTGTTTGTAAATAACTAAACATTAACATTCTTAAAACAGAACTAATTCTCATATTTCAAAATTTGCTTTATTGATAATCTAGTGTTTAAATTTGATTTTATCTCAAAAGAAGATCCTTAGCCATGGCTCCACAGTCTTCACAAAGTTTGAGATTGCTTGTCAAAGACCATACTATAAATTTTAGTTTGTATGTACTCTGTAAGATTTTTTGAACTACTTTAAGCCTATGACTAAATATAAACAATTTCTTTGCAATAACACCCTATACATTGAAATTTAATGTCCATTATTGACTTAAATTTTGTAAAATGGTTTCTGTCATTTACATCAGTATTACAGTTTGTATTGTTTTTATATATATATATATATATATATATATATATATATATATATACACACATATATATATATATATATATAGTATGATATTGATTTTAGTCATAAAAGATTTTTAAACTTATAACTTAAAATTATACACTATATTTTATAATGAGAGTTTTTACAAGCAATAATATATTAATTGAATTGGTGTTTAAAATTGGAAATTGCATTAGCTCTTAATATGTAATGACCTGTTGTTACTTTGTGTGACAACCAAAAGTCTATAACTATGATAAGAGATAAAACAACTTTTAGATTTTTTAATGCATGTGTTAAGAAACATAAGTCTTTATATTGACATAGTCTTCAGTTTGAAATTTTAAATTATATTAAGTTAATTAATACAATCGGGAATTACTTTGTGGAAATCCATCATGTTACCTGTGTCTTACGTTGTTAAACGAGCTCCTCCCTTGGGAGCTCTTACATCTTTTTACTTTATTATGTGGATCTTAGCTAGATCTAAGAATATTTAGAATTTCAGCTCATGATTAGTTACGCTAAGATATAGGAGAGGGCAGTGAGGAGTAAGTGTAATTGAGGTGCATGAGACGCGAGGGGTTAGCGGCCGATGATTCAGAGCATCAACGTGCTCTGGATCCATGACAGGCGGGGACGAGGTGCGTGCGCGCAAGAGCGGGCGGGCGGCGGCCAGCAGCAGCAGCAGCGCGTGCAGCAGGTTGGCGCGGCCACGCGGCACGCCCACCAGCTCAGCGGCCGCGAGCTCACGCGGTGCAGCGCCAGCGAGCCTACGCCGGCGCCCGCCCCGCCCACGCTCAGGTACTGCGAGCTGAACGGCCGCGGGTTGCCGCTCTGCACCATCTGCGCATCCACACACACAACAAACTTTCTTTAGGCTATTCTTTTCTAAAAGGGTAGCAAAGCTACTGTCGTGAGCCACTCCTAACACAAGCATTTTATGCTTACCAGGAGTTACCGTTACAGCCTATTGAAGTCCACTGCTGAACAAAGGCCTACCCCATAGATTGCCGCACATTTGCCGTAGTTGCCACACTTGGCAAGCAGGTTGACAACCACAGTTTTTGATTTTAGTCGTTATTTGGAAGATACTGCTGTCCATCTTACTGAACTGTACCAGGAGTGTTTAAAGAGTATATAAGTAAAGTTAATACCGTTACTACTATTTCTTTTAAAACAAAAAAAAGTAGCTCCATTCTCCTGATGTTGATGGGCGACGGTGATCACTTACTGTACGGTCTTTACAAACCGCACATTTCTGCACATCAGCATTTTTACATTGTATCATTATTCTTTCTCACCAATTCTGAACGCAATCATTCGCCGTCGCGCATTGTACTCACTATCAATAATATCAGAATAAATTAAATAATCAGTTCGTCTTTATCAATTTCATCAACTTCTAAGATTGTACTGCACAGCAGCTTGTACATCTTAATGGTCCTTAGAGTATTGCCGGTAAGATTAAGGCCAGGACTCCACCAAAGCGGAGAGGAGATATTTTTTTAAACAACTAATGGAATTGTGTTATTGACACGTCTCTCCACACAGCGATCTCCACCGAAGCTGTGCGGAGATGTGTACTTAGTGTAATATTGTGTTATTGACACATCTCTCCGCTCAGCTTCGGTGGAGATCGCTGTGTGGAGATGTGTACTTAGTGTAATATTGTGTTATTGACACATCTCTCCGCTCAGCTTCGGTGGAGATCGCTGTGCGGAGATGTGTACTTAGTGTAATATTTCTATGGCGCGATGGAAGCGGAGATGTGAGCTGTGCGCGGACGACGCGCAGTGGAGACGAGAGATGTGAGCAAAGATTATAGTAAATATATAAGGAAAAAGAGAGCTCTCTTGCAAGTAAAACTGGTGCCCCTTGGAAAAAGCGCCACCTGATGATTGTAAAGCTAACTAACTATAATGTGCATGTGTGTGTGTGTATATTCTAATTCACTCACACGATAATGCTTTGTGAATGTGTGCGTGTGTATATGTATATTGCTCATTGCTCACCCCCACATTCAATATTACATATTATATTCATTTATAATATACTATTTCCATTCCAACTTTCTACATCTGAATATAGAAAATTGGAATGGAAATAGTAATAAATGAATACAATAGTAATAAATAAATTAACAAAATAGTAATAAATGAATATAATAGCAATAAATAAATGTACATTAATGATGTTAATAGTTGTTTCAAGTTTTGTAATTTTATTCTGTACGCAGATGATATAAAAATTTATCGCAAAATTCAATATTATCATGACCACCTTAACTTTCAAAAATATTTAGATAATTTTACATCTTACTGTAAACACAATAAGTTAGATTTGAGTGTTAATAAATGTAAAGCCATAACATTTACCCGTAAGCAACAGGAAAGTAATTTTAATTATTCTTTATGTGAAGTCCCATTAGAAAAAGTTCATAAAATTAAAGATTTAGGAATAATATTAGATAGTAAACTTATCTTTGATACACATGTTGAAAATGTCATTAATAAGGCTCTTAAAATGTATGGTTTCATGATGCATATTGGACGTGAATTTAAAAAACCTCTCACTTATTTGCACCTCTATAAATCTTTAATAAGATCACAACTCGAATATGCGGTAGCTATTTAGTGTCCGTATTATAATAAATATATAGATGAAATAGAATCCATTCAGAAAAAGTTTTTGCGTAGTGTATATTACAAGTGCAGACGAGTTAAATTACCCTACTATCAACTGCTGGTTGAATATAACTTAGTAAAATTAGAATCCAGACGTCAACAGATTCAAGGTATGTTACTATATGATATCTCAGGTACGATAGTATAAAACTAGTTGAGATGATACAATACAGAGTACCATATAGGCCATTGTGTCGCAGAGTTCATACTAAATATACATTTTTTACTAATAAATGTCAAATCAATGTAGGTAAAAGATCCCCTATATATATGTTGTTAAATTGTTATAATAATACTTTCAATAATATTGATATTTTTGCTCACAAGGTGGGTATTTATAAAAAAGAATTACTTTCAGTACTCAGAGGAGAATGAGTTTGTGTAACTGGTTATTACAATTATTAGTATTTTTCTTCATTATTGTGTTATTTGAAAACACAATCATTGTATTAGATGAAAAAATTGTACGCTATTCTCAATCTAAACATTTGGTAATAGTAATTGGTGGTCGACGGTGTTGGTTGCACTATTATATTATATTTTTGTAGTGAATGTATTTTAGATTAATAAATATTGTGTAAACTGTTTGTTGATCCTAATAAATTAAAAAAAAATAAGCATTGATAGGACTGGTATACAGAAATACTTTTAATGGTTTAGAAATAAAACAATTATTTTCATAGAGATTTAATTATATTATAGACAGATGATAACACAGAAATAATAATATACATATGCTCAGTAGTATAATAAGTGATGTGGGCACTCAATATTAATAGATGATTATGGAGGCATCTTAAGACACACCATTTTCAGCATCACTAACACATTAGACATTATCCTATTAAGTAAAACTACTACCTACTTGCTAGTACATAACACCACACTTGTGTAATTATTTTGCGAAAAACGAAATAATAAATCGAAATCAAACTCAAAGCATAGAAAAGTTAAACAAAACGAACTCCCATAGAACTGATTCTAGTATATACACAGTCTCCAGGAGAAAAACCGGCGACGAGGTTCGCCACCCGTCACGTTCTGTCTCCCGGACATAGATAACTCCCGGAGAGACGAAAAGTGGATTGTAATCTATGTTACTGACTATGGAACTCCATTTAATTTGGAAATTAAGACATTCCCATTTATACTAATATCACTTTGTAAAATTTAAAAATTAAAATTGAACTTTGAAACCTTATTTATTTTTCACAACAACCACAGATATATTTATATTTTCCGCTACAGAGAGGTGTATCACAGACTAATCATTTCAATCGGACATAAAAATAATCGGAACGTACGTAATATTTACTTTATAAATCATGTATTAAACAATTATTATGTGATCTTATATTACAAATTTTATAGATTATAATTTATTAGATAAATAAAAATAATTTTAATGAGAAAATTGCAAAGATATTAAAATGCAAATATCAAAGTTCCTAAGCCGCAATTGAAATTGCGTAACATGGTTCACTGCTTCCTTCTTAAATTCTGCCATCTATTGAGTATTTAATTAACTAATATTACACAAACCGAGGAAAATCTGACCCGTACCATACACTTGATGGCGTTACTTTTTACGCCCAAATGCCTTATTATGGAACTTTACTCCCCCCCCCCCTGGATGTGAGCGGCGTGCAGTGAGCCCATAGATTACTGAATATATACTAGAGATAAATGCGCAACTCAAATTTTATTTACGTTAAGTTCCGTGTATGTCCAACAGATGGCGATAAATTAAGAGTGCTTTGGGCCCGCCCTTTATTTGCACTTTACAATTTTTATTTTTACAACCGTTAATTACATTGCACAAGTCATCATCATCATCATCATCATTACAGCCCTTCACAAGTCCACTGCTGAGCATAGGCCCAAGTTATGCCGCAAAGCACGGTTCTCAGCCACCTGCATCCAACGACTTCCTGCATGTCTTACCAGGTCGTCACTCCATTTAGTTCGAGGTCGCCCTACACTTTGCCTACCGGTACGAGGCTGCCACTCGAGAACCTTATTTCCGCAACGGTTGTCGGTCCTTCGAGCTATATGGCCGGCCCATTGCCACTTCAGCTTACTAATCCGTTTGGCTATGTCGGTCACTCCGATTCTACTGCAGATATCCTCATTTCTAAGTTTATCACTCAGAGAAACCCCGAGCATAGCCCTCTCCATAGCTCGCTGAGTGACTTTGAGCGTCCTCATACGGCCAGCAGTTAAGGACCACGTCTCGGTTCCATAAGTCATCACTGGCAACACGCACTGGTTGTACAATTTAGTTTTCAGGTTTTGAGGTATACCTGACGAGAAGATGTGTCGTAATTTTCCGAACGGAGCCGAGTTGAATCCGTCGATTGACCTCTCGGTCGTAGTTGGACTTACCTAGTCGGACTATTTGTCCTAGGTAAACGTACTCGTCAACAACCTCGAGCTTAGTGCTCCCAACCACTACGGGCATAGGTGTGACATGGACATTAAACATGACCTTTGTATTGGCCATGTTCATCTTAAGACCTATCCGTTGGGAGGCACTATTGAGGTCATTGAGCATAGTGCTTAAGTCCTCCAGCGATTTTGCCATAAGGACTATATCGTCGGCAAATCAAAGGTGAGTGATGTACCCGCCATTGATGTTAATACCGCATCCTTTCCAGTCAAGTAGCTTGAAATCGTCTTCCAATGCAGCGGTGAAGAGTTTCGGGGATATAACGTCACCCTGTCTTACACCTCTCTGCAGTTGGATAGGTTTCGTACTCTGGTTCTGTACTCGGATAGCCATCGTAGCCCTACTGTACAAACACTTAAGCACTTCGATATACCGACAGTCAACTTGGCACCGCTGAAGAGATTGTAGCACCGCCCAAATTTCGACGGAATCAAAGGCTTTCTCATAGTCCACATACGCCAGGCAGTGGCGGATTGTACTCTTCGGACTTCTGAACAATTTGCCGAAGGGTACGTATGTAGTCTATGGTACTAAAGCCTTTTCGGAAACCGGCTTGTTCGGGCGGCTGGAAGTCGTTGAGTCTGGGCACGATGTTTCGTAATGATTCTCGAAAACAGCACATAGACGCGGCTCAGAAGGGATATCGGTCTGTAGATCTTCAAGAGGGCGTTTACGCCTTTCTTAAAAAACAAGACCACCGCACTTCTGCTCCACGCCTCCGGAGTAGTGCCACCATGGAGGACGGAATTAAAGAGCTTCTCAAGGAATTCATTTACCGGTGTTCCACCCGCTTTGGAAGCTCCGCTGTTATTCCATCCTCGCCCGGGGACTTGCCATTTTTAAGGTGCTGGAGAGCCATTCTAATCTCTCTCAGACTGATGTTCGGGATTTGTGGAATAGTGTCGGATAATTCGACACAAGTGCTGCAATGTAGGTAATTAATGGCTGTTTATATTTCTTGTGCTAATTGATAGTTCCTATTACAAAAAATGAAAACCGGATATTTTTAAAATGTTTAGTGTTTAAAAATTCTTTGTTTAAATTATTGATTAACATTAGATGTGTTAAATTTAACAATATTTGCACAATATCAATTGATTTCTTTAAACATATTCCTTTTAACTGGTTAGTTAAAAGTTAGTAAATATATTATGTTACAGAGAATACAGTACAATAGAATTATTATCATTAAATATAGATTATTACATAATACTTATTGAAAGTCATGTTTTATTTACTACAGATAACTCTGTCCTAGGAAGTACCAGCAGGAAACAATAAAAATATAACAAATAAATACAATAATTTTGTTTGTACACTTTTTAAATAAATTTTCATAGGACAAGCATGGTGGCGATCATCTCATTCCCAGGGGTTATTTTTATTGATGATTTTTTTGATATTGTTGCGCGGCTAAGTTGACATCTCATCTCTTGGCACTAGCGCCATCTAGTGTCGGGTAACAGAGCGAGGAGAGAGCTTTCCAGAAAATGACATGACAAATTTTTCACCGACAGCGCCATCTAGTATCAAATTGAAGAACTAAACTTTCTAGAAGCTCTACACTCGATCTTTCTGCGCTTGGTCGGTTGGCGCGCGTATTTACTCGAATATTCTGGAATATTCTGGATGTTTTCGTGGAAGAGCCCTATATAAAGGCGCTGCAATACGCAATCGGGGAAGTATTGAAGTTGGCGAGACAAACGAAGCTTCGGAGCGGAATAAAGTGAATCAGTGTGATTAATTATTAGTGTTTTTAACTTTAATTAGTGTAAAGTGAATTAAAGTGTTAATTTAGGTAATTCTATCGGCAATTTTTATTGTCACGAACCTCAAGCTCGTAACAATTGGTGCCAGAAGTGGTATAAAATCATGCCGATTTTACCTTAGGAGGAAACGGAGGGTGTCCGTACCCGAAGTCGTGTTGGTGGTGCAACGCCACAGACGTTGGAGAGCCAGCCACCGGCTGCAGGCCCGTCAGTAGCCCCTACATCTGCAGCACCTGACTTAGGTGCTCTGATGGTGATGCTGCAGGAGCAGGCTCGCCGACAGGAGGAGCAGGCTCACCGACAGGAGGAACAGGTTCGCCGACAGGAGGAACAGGTTCGTCGGTTGGAAGAGCAGCTGCGGGGCGGGCAGAATGAACAGACCCGCCGACAAGAGGAACAGGTCCGTCGTTTGGAAGAGCAGCTGCGGGGCGGACAAGAAGAACAGGTCCGTCGTTTGGAAGATCAGCTGCGGGGTGGACAAGAGGAACAGGCCCGTCGGTTGGAAGAGCAAATGCTCCTCATGAAGGATCTTCACGCTACCTTCGGAAAGGAGATAAAGGAGGTTAAGGATAGGGTTGCTCAGCAAGACAACCGCCTGTCGGAAGCTGAAACCCAAATCGCGAAGGCTGAAACCCAAATCAAGGAAGCTAAAACTCAAATCGACCAAGTGAACGATCGGGTAGACAACTTTAAATAGTATGAATAAAAAACTTCGCGGCAAGTGAACGTAAAAGTAAACACTCGCTCGCGCTCGCGCTGCCCGTTGTTTGACTTCCGCGCGAAAAATCGACAATCGAGAGAGTGCCGGGCAGTGCCAGCGGCATGGGCAGTGACAGCGCGAGTATCATATTTCCATACACGCGCTGCCCATTTATGTGGTGGCTGATGTGAAGAAAACGTTGGATGATCTCAAACTGGGGGATAGGAAACTACACCTCCCGTAGTAGCTACAACACCTTCAGTACGTGGATTCAAAGTGCCGCCGTTCGACGGGACTTCTTCCTGGGCGGCCTACAAAATCCAGTTCGAGGCTGTTATGAAGGCAAACGGCTGGAATAAAAGTCAGGCCATGACTGCTCTCACACTAGGTTTGCGCGACCGGGACTTAACTGTTGTAGAAGCTCTCGGTAAAGAAGTGACTTACAAGCAGCTCCTTGAGGCATTGGAGGCTATATATGGCGACGCTCACCTGGAACACGTCTTTCGAGCGCAGCTTAGAGATCGCGTGCAACGCAGCAATGAAAACCTGCAGCAGTGGGATCTAGAGGTGGAGAAGCTGGTGCGAAAAGCATACCAGTCTGTACCTGCGCTTATTGAAGGGAACCTGGTGCAGACATTCATCGACGGCATCCGCGACCTGGAAGTCAGAGCTGCTGTGAGGATCGGGCACCACGAGACGCTTAAAGACGCCTTGGCCCGTGCACTGGAGGTGGAAGCCGTGCGGCAGGATCATCGTCCCCATCGCATCAGGGAGGTTGCAGCAGCTACAGTACACGACCGCAACAAAGGATACAGCCCTAGGTGCTATGGCTGTGGGGAAAAGGGCCATCTTCGATCCAGCTGCCCTAAGCGAACCCTAGAAAGGGAAGGTGAACGACCTCAGGAGGGTAGTGCGGCCAACAGCACCGCCCAGCAGCAGCAGGGAAACGATTAAAAGCCAGAACTGCGGGGCGGGTGCTGGCTGATGTTAAAAGAGCCCCAAGGATCTCGATCTCACAAACCCATGATGGGAACAGTCTAATCATCAAGGGCGAGGTCAACGGAATGCCGTGTAAACTGACCATAGACACTGGAGCCTCTCGTACGGTTGTTAGTTCCCAACTTATAAGTCAGTTCCTTGGGGGACTCCACATACAACTGAGAACGCATTAATTTGGTAACAGACACCGGTCAGCGTATACCCGTCCGTGGAGAGAAGGAGATGGAGTTGAAGCTAGGCAACGTGACCTGTACAGTGCAACCGTACATTTTAGTGTGTAAGCGATTTATTTAGGTCAACATAATTTGCGTCATTCACTTTAGTTTTTGAGCAATCGACAGTTGACGTTGTCGCTCAGAACACGATATACGCGTTCTATATCATTATCAATATCATTATATAATATCATTATTTATTTTAAATAAAATCATTTTTCCTATCAACTATCATTTAAAGGTGTTCCGTACATCTTTATGGTCCTTCGAGCCGGATTTGAACCAGCGACCTATGGATTTATGGTCCTTCGAGCTCCGTAGCGGGACCTGAAATTCGGGTTTTAACGACCGGAAAAAGTGTTTCCGCTCAGTGACCTATTGCGACATAGTGCACTAAGTGACGTGTGCAATAGCTTTCCAGTCTGTACTAATAAGTGTGCAGCATCATTTCATTATCAATAAGCTCCGGCCATCGGTGTCACAAAGCATCAAGGATCAAGCAGTATTTGTGGGCGTAGCGAGTCTTGGGGCGCCGCCCAGCAGTAGCAGCTTGCAGCGCATCAGGAGAATCTAAGTCTTCGTTGGGTACTTACCACTACTACGACACGAACGCGCCAACCACCTCTGCACAATCAGCAACCAGCATCACATCAATTAAGATCTTTCCATTTTACTTATCTCTATATCATGATGTCTGTCAACGATGTCCTCACTACGCAGCAGCAGCTATCAACAGCAATTGAAAATTTGTATACTAATTTCAAGAAGGACGGGTCTGATAGGAAGACTCCAGACTATATCAAACGCAGATTAAATGCTCTAGACGACTATTGGTTTGAGTATGAGAAGAATTATCAGCATTTATCACAACTGGATATGGATGTACCAAGCAGAGAAAGAATAGATCAAGAACGTGAAAGATTGAAGGAGAGATTTGACAACATTAGAGCGCATATCCAAAACTATCAGCCTTTGACAGAGGATAGACCTGGAACAACACTGTTAAAGCCTCCTACATTTGTCTCTAAAACAAATTCAATCACGCCACAAATAAGTACAAGATCAACATCGAGCAAAACAGAAGAAATGTTAAAAAAACAGAATAGCAATTTTAAAGCATTTCAACGAACACTATCAAATATCAACCTGGAATTAGTATCAGAGAAATGGGAATTCGAAGACTTGTTACGTACTCTCCAGTCTCGTTGGGCAGCTATCGATGCCTTACACTGGGAGCTGGATAGCGAATTGGATGGTTCCAATGAAGCGTATGAAGAAACCTTCAGCTTCTATGAACAAAAATTTAGCCAAGTCAAGAAAGATATCAATACAAAGATGTGGTCTGAAAGTCACCGAGAAAAGTCCACACCCCAGATGGACATACCTACGTTCACTGGCAATTATCATCAGTGGGTATCATTTAAGGATTTGTTTTGCGAAGCAGTTCATACCAATCGAACCTTGTCAAATGCCCAAAAAATGCAGTTTTTGAAAAGTAAACTTAGAGGAGAACCGGAAAAAATGGTACAGCATCTGCATATCAGTTCGGACAATTATCAAGTTTGTTGGGATTTGTTGAATCATCGATACAATAATAACAAATTAATTTTTGGGTCTCATATCAACATTCTTTTGAATTTACCTATCGCTCAACAGCAATCAGCAGCACAATTTAAGAAAATTTATGACAGCGTAAACGAAAGCCTAAATGCCATAAAAAATCTAGGCATAGACATAAGTTCATGGGATCCTTTGGTGGTACATATATTGTCTCAAAAAATAGATGTCGAGACTCACAAAGACTACATCGAATCCCTAAAGAATCCTAGAGATTTACCAACTTTAGCAGATTTTTTAAATTTTTTGGAAAATAAATTTACGTCACTAGTATCATCCCGACGCAAACAAGACTCCACAACAAAATCCTCTCAGCCTGAAACAACATCTCATCGAAAGAAGCCTCATTATTTTAAATCATTTACCAGCAATCAAAATCAAGTCACAAATTATGCACAGAAAAACTCACAAACAGGATGTCCACTATGCAAAAATGAAAACCACGGCATATTTCACTGCAGCAACTTTCTCAAATTACAACCAACGGAAAGGCGAAATACAATTGCGAAATTGAAATATTGCTTCAATTGTCTTTACGATCACTACGGCAAAAATTGCATATCGGCAAAACGTTGCCGCGAGTGTAATGGCAGATCAGCTAACACACTCATACACGAGGCCTACGTGAAGCCGTTGACCTCAACAACAGAACAACGTAGAAATGCTAGCAACGTGTCACAAAATAATATAAATGAAACCCTCTTAGCAATAGCACTAGTAAAAGTACAGTGTGTTAATGGCACTTATATCAAAATTCGAGCGCTGATTGATCAGGGTTCCCAGACCTCCCTGATTACTGAGAAGGCAGCTCAAATGTTACAACTTCCTCGACAGAGGTGCAAAGGTGTCATTTTCGGAGTAGGAGCAAAGGAAAATAACTGTAAAGGTGTTATTAACATAACTTGCTCATCGGCTTACAGCGACTATCAATTTACGTCAGATGTGTTTATCATGAAAAACTTAATTAACAATCTGCCCAACAAGACATTCGACAAACCAGACTGGTCATATCTAGAAAACATTCAACTCGCCGATCCCGAATTCAACGTGAGCCGCCCAGTAGACTTGTTGCTGGGGGCGGACGTCTATTCTTCTATCATATTAGGCGGTATCATTTCATCACAACAATCACAACCTGTGGCACAGCAAACACGTCTCGGGTGGATTTTATGTGGCAACGTAAAATCCTATCAATGCAACGTTATTATGAACAATATAGATGAGATTCAACGTTTTTGGGAGATAGAACACATACCTGACGAACTCACCATGACCCAAGAAGATGCTCAATGCCTGGAGTATTTCAAAAACACGACAACAAGGCAAGAAGATGGGAAGTACATAGTTAGATTGCCATTTATATCAGAAGCAGTTCAAAAATTGGGAGAATCAAAATCAAGAGCAATAGCGCAGTTTAAACAGTTAGAAAAAAAGATTTACTTACCGAAAAGATATTGAAAAAGAATATAAATCATTTATCCACGAGTACTCGGAATTAGGTCATATGAAAATGTCGCCATGCAACAAGACGCCTGTCTACAGTCTGTATTTACCACATCATTGCATTCACCGACCGGAGTCAACAACAACTTCGCTTCGAGTAGCCTTTAACGGAACGTCAAAAACTTCGAGCGGCTTAAGCTTGAACGACGTGATGCACCAAGGTCTCAACCTGCAACAGGACCTGTTATCACTAATTATCACCTGGCGACAGTACCAATATGCCTACACCGCTGACATCGAGAAAATGTTTCGGCAAATTCTCATTCACGAAGAAGATCAGAGATATCAAAGAATCATATGGAGAAATTCACCAACTGAAACTTTACAAGAATATCAATTAGCTACTGTCACATATGGAACTAAAGCAGCACCATTTCTTGCCATGATGGTATTGAAACAGCTAGCCAAAGATGAAGGTCATAAGTATCAGGAAAGCCCAGCAGCGAAGGTCCTGCAAGAATATTTTTATATGGAAGACCTGATCAGTGGGAGTCATGACCTCGCATCAGCTAAAAAGTTACAATCAGACTTAAAAAACTTACTAAAAGCAGGTGGATTTAATTTAAGAAAATGGTCAGCCAATACACCGTGTCTTCTAGAGGGAGTCAGCACAGCAAATACCAACCAGCAAACATATGACTTCAAAACTGAAATATCTACAAAAACCTTAGGCCTGCAATGGCTTACGCAATCAGATCAGCTGACTATTGACTTGAAGATCGATTTATCAACATCAAAACTAACGAAACGAAGCTTGTTATCAAATATCTCAAAGCTCTACGACCCAGTAGGATTTTTAACGCCAGTTAGCACAAAATTGAAATTATTATTCCAAAAAATTTGGCAATATGACTTAAAATGGGACGACGAGATTCCTCATGAGATTCAAGTGGATTGGACGAAGATCAAAGAAGATATCAAAAATATATCACAGATACGTATACCAAGATGGTTAAAGAGCAACAAAAATGACGTCATCATTCTTCATGGGTTCAGTGACGCGTCGATGAACGCATACGCTTGCGCAATTTATTGCAAGATAGTTCGTGAAAAACAAGAGGGAAGTAAAAACATATCCGTCGTCCTCGTTACAGCAAAATCCAGGCTAGTACCACCGAAAAAGAAGATCAGCTTACCTCGCTTAGAACTGTGTGCAACCCTACTTTTATCAAAGCTCATGAAAAAGGTGAAATCATGTTTGGCAGATTACAATATCAAAATGTTTGGATGGCGTGATTCGACAGCAGTATTGGGTTGGCTGCAAGGAGATCCGAAACGCTGGAACGTTTTTGTAGCCAACAGAGTAGCTAAGATCACAGAAGTTTTACCATCGGAATGTTGGCGCTATGTCAAGTCGCAGGATAACCCAGCTGACTGTGCCAGCCGAGGAATCAGCACGAAACAGCTTCATCGACATCAGTTGTGGTGGCGTGGACCAGCGTGGTTATCATACTCCGACGATGATAACGTCAAGAAGATCACTTACACCACCGATGAAGAGGTCAAAACCATAAAGCAAGTACACACCACAACCTGCTCAAGCGAAGACGACGTCATTACCCAATTAATAAGCAAGCACAGCAGTTTCACGCGAGTGACACGAATATTAGCCTACATACTACGTATAAAGCAAAATAATAAGCAAAGCTATTTAACAGCACAAGAATTACAAAAGGCAAAGCAAAAAATTATCAAGCACGTACAAAGCAAGGAGTTTGGAGAAGATATCGGCTATTTACAAAAGTATAACAAAGCAAGGCCAAATAGCAAATTATTACCTTTAAATCCTTTTATCGATTCTGAAGGTATGTTGAGAGTAGGTGATAGACTGCAAAACGCTTCGATCAGCAAAGAAATGATGCATCCCCTTATCATCCCCCACGAGAGTCACCTGACACACCTACTCATTGATCAAGCCCATAAAATGACATATCACGGAGGAGCCCGTGTCACCTTAGCATGGCTACGACAACAGTATTGGGTCCTAGGTTGGAACAGAGCAATCAAAAAACGCCTGCGCAACTGCGTAACCTGTAAAAAACACAACCCTACAAAACATTATCAGCTTATGGGCGATCTTCCTGAAGCAAGAATAATTCCGTCGAGACTATTTCTTAGAACAGGGGTGGATTTTTCAGGTTTTGTGGACGTAAAATCAAGTAAAGGCAGAGGAATCAAGACCTTTAAAGGATACATAGCAGTGTTTGTTTGTATGGTCACAAAAGCCATACATCTTAAGTTAGTATCCGATTTAACTTCATCAGCATTCTTAGCAGCATTAAAGAATGGCGGCGAGGCGTGGCACACCACATCACATTTACAGCGATAATGGTACGAATTTCGTTGGTGCCAACCGAATCATCAATCAAGAAATAATTGATCTAAAATCCATTATCACAAATGAGTTCTTATCAGAAATAAGCGAAATGAATATCACATGGCATTTCAATGCTCCATCATGGCCCAGTGCGGGGGGTCTTTGGGAAGCGGCTGTGAAGAGTGTTAAATACCATCTTCGCAGGGTCATCGGCGAACAAAAACTTACCTTCGAGGAGTTCTCAACACCGCTAACACAGATAGAAGCCTGCCTGAATTCCCGACCGCTCTGCGCTATCACTGAAGATCCAAATGATATCAATTACCTGACTCCATCTCACTTTCTGGCCAGCGGTCCAGTTTTAAGTATCGTGGAGACAGAGAAAGACGAAAGAACACGTTGGCATATGACGCAGAAGATATTCAATGATGTTTGGAAGCGCTGGAAGTCTGAATATCTGACAGTATTATCCGCCAGGAACAAATGGCAGCAATCAACTGAAAATATCAAAATTGATGACATTGTAATCATTCATGAAGCAAACCTACCTGCTGGGAGAGGGGCATTAGAGAGAGTTATCCATGTTCACCCCGGCAAAGATGGAATAGTCCGAGTAGTTACTGTTAAAACAAAAAACGGGACTATTAAGAGACCTATCACGAAATTGACCATTTTACCAACTCAGTCTGAAGCAAACTATCAGAATCCCACAAACTGTCAATCAAGTCCGAAAAACAATCAAGAATTAAGTTTGAAAGCAGATCACAAAAACGACAAACCAGAAAAAGCACGATCTAGTATCAAACTTTGTAATTTTATCATGTACACACTGCTTCTTTTTACGTTATTCGCACAAACAGCACAAGGATCATTTAATGTAACAAATTTTAAGGATACCCAGAGTTTATACTTCGATAAAACATCAAACATGAGGCTTATCCGAGATGAATGGAAAATCATTGTTTATTACGATTTAGATCCGTACTGGCAAGGTTCGAAACTACTAAAAACATATATCACTCACCTCGAAAACATATGTTCAAAATTGCAAGAGCGACAACAATGTGACATAATCCTATTACAATTACGACACGGGAGCACCGAGTTACACTACTACGATCAGCTGTTGCTTCAGGTTGTGTGTTAGTGTTGGTCAGCAGTCGGCGGCGGGAATACGAGTACGTCGCGGGCTTATCAATGGCGTGGGAAATGTCGCGCATGCACTATTCGGCGTACTTGACAATGACTTCGCTGAACAATATACAAAGGACATTGAACTCATTAGAAACAATCAAAACCATCTCGTAAAATTATGGAAAAATCAGACATCAGTAATAGAAGCACAATATAACTTTTTAAAAAGATTAGAAACAACAATTGACCAACAACACAAACTCTTCCATCAGCATATCAATAATTTAGAGCAAGAAAATTCTGTTATTAAAGAAGAGATACAAAAATTAAGAGCTAGCAACGAGTTTACCTTATCATCTGTAATATCAAACAACATCTTAGTTAATTTGAAAAAGATACAAAATACCTTGCTTGATGTTGTTACCGACATTTATCAGGGGAAATTTGATATAAATATAGTATCACCTGAACAGTTACAAGATGAGCTTAGCATCATTTTTGGACATTTAACAAAAGATCTATCCTTGCCTATAGATGATATTATACATAACGGCGTATCAAAATTGTATCATTTACTGAGAGTAAAGGTCAAGGTCACATATCAAAACCTTTTACTCGAAATTAAAATACCACTTTTAACCAGAGAAAGCTATGACATCTACAGAGTTTTACCTATTCCTCAATCATACGACAATAAGATGATAAACATAATTCCGATCTCTGATTACTTTGCTGTAAACATTCAAAGCGACTCATACATACCTATGACTGAAGCCGAAGTACAATCATGTCTACATTCAGACCTCACCACGAAACTTTGTGAGATACGGGGTCCTGTTTACCATATGCAAAATGATCAAAAGGGGGATGCCCACTGTTCATAGACACTTCGGCCATTGGTGCCCACATATAAAAGCATATGGAAACGATAATATGCAATTAAAATAATGAAATGGCTAAGGAATTGGTTTAAAAAAAGTCGGGATTTTTATGATATAAAAGTTTTTATTTTCACAAATACAGTTTTTTAACGACTACTTTTACCAATTTTATCGCTTTTAACTTCTTTAACTTTTGTTTCCCGACATTTCAGGTGCTTTATAGCACCCATAGTCACGGGGGACTGAGGTGACTGCCATTCCAATGTCAGTATTGGGACACCTACCTTCCACGATACCATGATACTTTCAGCTTTTTATTATTATTTTAATAGTCCAATCTATGCAGATTGAACTTACTCTCTCTTTAAGTCTTGCAGTGGTATGCCTGGGTTTGGTTTTAATTTTATTAATTATAGTGTCCCAAGTAGGTGGTAGTACCCAACCGCCTTCTCTATTGAAATTAGGATGTTTTTAATTTCAATAGCCTCACATATCATCCTTGGTAGGAATTAAGGCTCTTTCGCGAGGATTTGTGATCTATCAAATCTGATGTATGTCTATCTGGTTGGGGTGACAACCTCGACATACGGTAGTACAGCTAGCACACGCTCAACTGCGGTCGGCTTCACTCAGTCACAGTGACGTAGATGTGGGACCCGAAGCTTGATTTTGTGCAGAACCTGCTTGATGTGCTGAAGCTCCGCGGCCAGGTGCTTGCTCTTATAGATCCCATATGCTCTCTGTAACAAATATTTGCTCACGGTAACTAACTGTGAAGGATGATGGTGAGATTCACCGCTTAAATATAAGTTTGTATGGGTCTTTTTTCTATACACAGTGTGACATATGATGTTGTTAGGATTTTGGAGAACAAAAACATCTAGGAAAGCTAAGAAATTATTTGCCTTTAATATAATATCATAATTACTGAATGGAATTTGGCACAGAGAGTGTTAACGATGGATAAAATTCATAGTAACAACATCCTGATTTAATATTTCACGGGCCATATTCATGAGCCGCTCTTATTTGTTTCTTGGCACTTGCAATAATGCCGATATGCATTCATCACTATCTCATGTTCCTATTTTCATCAAATATACAGCAAGTGCAAAACATCCACTATGTTTACTTGACATTTTGGGAACTTTAGACAGAATTTATTGTTATTGTGCTTTTGATAAGCCTAGATAATAATGTACACTATATTCAGGCATACTGTGAATACTTTCAAAGTCTATAATATGATGGTAAATATTATCTTACAATAATGTAGAAAAATCTATAATTTGTGCTACACTAAATGTTTTAATATGATTATATATTGATTCTAAAAGTAAATACCAAGAGTTACTATTTAAATGGTAGTTACTGATTCTACATTCTGGAGGTACATAGTAATTGTATTCAAAAAAAGACATACCCGCAATGTTGATGGAACTGTGAGTTGTTGGAATAGTTACAACCAGGAAAAAACATTGATTTTGTGTGAGTGGTGGTCTTACAAAATTAGGCAGCAGTATATTGTACGAGGTATGATCTAAGCTTTGTTGTTCTAGGTTCAATATATTACTCACTTTAGATTGCAACGAGGACGGACTAGATGATTCAGATGGTTCCCGTTCTAAAGTTTAACGTGATGCTGCTTTATCAGTCCTTTGCCAGCAATCATGACACGCGATGACGATGGCAACTGAAATAATATTAAATAAAAAAAATAAGACAAAGTGAACAAAATAAAATAGATTTGTTTACTTTAAACTCAAATATAGGTAAATGTTACTTAAAACTTAATGCCCTATATTTTTAATAATTAAGGACTGACTGCCTACCAGTAGTCCAAAAACAATTAAAAATCGACTTTCTCATTTCTTGGTATTTGATAAAAATTGTCCATTTTGTAACTATCTGGTGTTAGCTAGCTAATCTTATGGCCATGTTATAAATAAGCTATTATGTTTGTCAGATATAGCTTGTGCATATGTTAAAAAATAAAACAACTTCATCATTTCATTCATTGATCACTATCAAATATCAGCACTAGAATTATTAAATTAAAACTGTTAAACACTTACTTTTAACTGTTGTCACACTATAATGTGATCGACAATCTCACTTCACATGAGTTCTTGAGAATTTATTTGAAAAATAACAAACAAAATAACACAGTTGCGACTATTTAGTTGTGAATTCTCTAGTATTTGTTGAATTAAAAACTTTTATTTGTTGAATTGTGATTTCATTTTCATTCCCAATTCGCATGACATATTTCCTAGCTGTCAGATTTGATGTTGCCACATAACTAACATAAATACACAGATTAATCTGTGCATAAATACAATGAAACGATATCGATTTTTATTCGATTAGTAATTTAATAAAAAAAGTAATATATGAGGCGCTTTAAGTTCTACACGCTTTTTAAAATATATTTTCTTTTATTTATTTAAATTCTTTTTTCAATGTATTTTTAAGAACAGTTAAAATGTGGAGTAGCGTATTATCATGCTCTAAACAGTTCATGGTGAATCAGCTAAAAATTCACTTGTTTAATTATCATAACATGATTCCATTTTAAATGTATTGTTAAAACAGATAACAATTACTGTTAAATTGTGCAGCAGCATTTTGTTATACTCTAAAGAATTCATAGTAAATCAGCTAGTAATTCGCTTTTTTAATTATCATAACATCATAATATCGATTCGATTATTATTCGATTAATAATTCCATAAAAGGAGAATAATCTTGGAGGTGCTTCTGCTCGCTTTTTAAAATGTATTTTCCTTTATTTATTTAAATTCTATTTTAAGTGTATTTTTAAACAATAACAATAAAATAGTAGTAAACCACAGCACTACTCTCCATCCTAATGACGACACTGTCGCGACTGGACGACAACGGCGTAGCTGACCTTCCTTTTTGAAACATTCTTAGAATGTTGTGTATCGATTTCAAAATCGATCTAACCGAAATATACAGACATCGATTCATAATATTTTATGTGTCGGGGAAGGCGTAGGCCAAGTGACGCACAGAAGAAAAGTCTTACACTCTTATGGCAATGGGGATTTGATATGATGCTGACGCTGCTAGATGATTTTGAGACTGAGAAAGAAAACGGCACAACACAAAATGAAAAATTGCTCTTCACACCCTAAGTAAAAAAAAAAACATTAATTGTAATTTTGTATTATTATTAAAAAAGGTACATAATTATTCATTAATCAACAATTGTATATAATTATTCGCACCAGGTAAATCAGCCTTATAATACTAAAATCTTGGTCATGGAATAAATAAACATATTTGTTCACCAATCAATCAAAAATTCAATTCATCAATCAAAAATCAAAATTCATCATCATCGACGCTTTCCAAAATCCAAATGAGTTCTGAGGAATCGTTCACGTTGCATTGCTCTACTTTTCTCGGTAATCACTTATGACGTCATCAGGGTGTCGTCTATCCTTGATCACGGTGCCCAGTGAACTGATTTTCGATGACGCGCTAAAGATGCGCTAGAGTTGAGACATTAGATTTATTATGCGAAGATAATCTGATAACATTTTTTTATTCATGTAGCTAATTATAGTTGTATGTTTCTAACCTTTAATTTTATTCAAATATCTATAATAATAGAAAAAAAAACACCATTGAGATGAATTTTGAATAGTTTTCAAGAAATCTATGCCTCCCGCGTTTGACACTAGCGGTCAGCCACAGACGACTTTGGCGTGCTGGACATAGTATTTGCTTAGATAAAAATCCATTTTTATTAGTTCAATGTTTCTTAGTACTTGTGGCTCTAGAAGACTTGTTTTTTATACTCACATGTTGCTGGGTTATTGATATTTTGAGGAGTGTAGAATTAAAATACCTGCAATAATTTTCCAATATCTATATTTCATATTTTT